CTTTGCAGCCCACCTGGTCACTGTTAAAATTACTCACCTCTGCCACAGTGCTGCAAAAGCCACATGGACAATGTATAAATGAACAAGGGTGGCTGTGTTCACATAAAACTTTATGCTGAAAGACACTGAAATCTGAATTTCAGTCACAAAAATTTGAATTTCCATGTCATAAAATATTACTCTTCTTTGATTTTTTTTTCCCAACCATTTAAAAATGTAAAACCCATTCTTAACTCAAAGGCTGCAAACTGCCAAGTGGTGGACTGGATTCGGCCTATAGGTCAGTTTGCCAAATAGACTTTTTAAAATGCAACTCATTAAGAATGTTTTCTGACCAAACTGTCAAGCATTTCTTCATAAATATTACTGTAATAAGTAACCATTAAAATCACTGTGCTACAAATGCTTCTACAATTAAAATGTTATCAACATATATATATATATTTTTTTAGGTCTTGCTTTGTCACCCAGGCTGGAGTACAGTTAGTTTTGAGATCACAGCTCACAGTAAACTCAAACTCCTGGGCTCAAGCGATCCTCCTGCTTCAGCCCTCTGAGTATCTGGGACTACAGGCGTGTGCCACTGCTCCTGCTAATTTCTTTTATTTTTAGTAGACACAGGGTCTTGCTATGTTGACAAGGCTGGTCTTGAACTCCTGGCCTGAAGTGATCCTCCTGCCTCAGGATTATAGGCACGATGGGATTATAGACGTGAGCCACTGCGCTAGGCCATAATAATCTTCATTAAATAAGTGTTCTTCCCAGAGAGAAACACTTCTAAATTTCATTAAAAACCATGTTTATTTTACAATTTTTATGCCATTTTTAATGACAAATCATTTAAATTTTTATTGTAAGACCAAGGGAGAGCCCAGCATGATGGTGCGCATCTATAGTCTCAGCTACTCAGGAGACCGAGGCAGGATCGCTTGAGCCCAGGGGTTCAAGGCTGCAGTGAGCTATAAATGTGCCACTACACTCCAGCTTAGGAGACAAAGTGAAACCCTGTCTCTAAAAAAATAAATACAGACCAGGCGAAAAAATAAAATCAGTATTCCAGAGATGTGTGGTTGAATTATCAGCACCCTCTCAATCCAATTTAAGTCTCTTCCTCAGCAGTTACCTGGGTAACAACACTCACTGCTAACATCAGCCTCCCTCCTCTCCTTGTCCTTGTGATTCCAAACACTGTCATCACAGGTGGAATTTCAAGAATGGGTTCCTCAATAGTCTGAGCCTGAGTATTTCTCAGAAAGAGGCTTCTTTGTCAAGGAGTCTCACCCTTTGTGGGTTAATAGATCTTTACAGCCATTAAAGGTGGGGGACAGATGCACAAAACTTGACCTGAGATATCAAGTTGACCACAAGAAGAGTCCAAACTCTAGCCCTGCCTCATGGAGAAGCTGTTTGTGCATAGCAGCCTCGGGGTGGCAACAGATTGGCACTCATTTCACTCTCTGAGCCTCTACATTCTTCGTTACAATGGAAAAACTGAGGCAACCTACCAGCCTCAAAAATCCCCGCTACACTGGGCCAGGCACAAGCACTATTTTTTTTTTTTTTTTTTTGAGATGGAGTCTTGCTCTGTCGCCCAGGCTGGAGTGCAGTGGCGCGATCTCGGCTCAAGGTAAGCTCCGCTGTGGGTTCACACCATTCTCCTGCCTCCGCCTACTGGAGTAGCCGGGACTACAGGCGCCCGCCACCACGCCTGGCTAATTTTTTGTATTTTTAGTAGAGACGGGGTTTCACCATGTTAGCCAGGATGGTCTCGATGTCCTGACCTCGTGATTCACCTGCCTCGGCCTCCCAAAGTGTTAGGATTACAGGCGTGAGCCACTGCGCCCAGCCAGGCACAAGCACTATTAAACCTTACCAGCATCCTAAAGGGTTGAAGATCTCGCAGTTTAGACCAGCACTGTCCAATGGGAACAGCATGTGAGCCACATATGTGATTTAAAAATTTTTAGTAGCCACATTTAAAAAAATGTTAAAATTAATTTTATTTTACTAATCCAATATGTCTAAAATATGTTCATTTCAACCTGTAATTAATAGAAAATTATGAATGATCTATTTTACATCCTTTTTTCACAGAATGTCTTTTAAATCCAATGTATATTTTATACTCACAGTACATGTCAATGCCCTTCAGTGGCTAGTGGTTACCAAACTGTACAGCCCAAGGTAAGACTTGTCTTTCTCTCCCCACTCTCTGTGCCCTTCAAACCGTCACTCACCCAGTTGCACTACCCCTGCTCATCACCCTTGCCCCAGCCTCAGTTCCACCCGGTTTACTCACTTACCTCCTTAGCCCAGACCCCAGTGCAGGTTATTCCAATACCCTAACTAGGACCCAGCATCCTCAGCTGCAATCTGTTCCTGAACTCACCACAATTTTACTTTACTCCCACGATTATAGTAAAATTCTCTCAACTATCACAGATGAAATGTAAATTATAAAGTCTAGTGTTTCTCATCTTTCTTGGGAGAGCAGTGTGTAATTAGAAACAGCATGGGCGGCTGGGCGCAGTGGCTCACGCCCGTAATCCCAGGACTTAGGGAGGCCGAGGTAGGCAGATCACGAGGTCAGGAGTTCGAGACCAGCCTGACCAACATGGTGAAACCCTGTCTCTACAAAAAATACAAATATTAGCCGGGCGTGATGGCGGGTGCCTGTAATCCCACCTACTTAGGAGGCTGAAGCAGGAGAATCGCTTGAATCCGGGAGGGGAAGGTTGCAGTGAGCCAAGATGGCGCCACTGCACTCCAGCCTGGGGGACAGAGGGAGACTCTGTCTCAAAAAAAAAAAGAAAAAAAAAAAAAAAGAAAAACAGCATGGGCACCAGAATCAGGAAGGCTGGGTTCTAACTGAGGCTCTGCCACACACCACCTGGGTGACCAACCCTGAATGAATTACCCAATTTTTCTGACCCCTTAAGAGGTAAGAAAAAGCAGAAAGAAAGAAAACAGAAGGAATAAAAAGCCATGGACCACTGACTACACAGTTATAAAAGATGAAATAAGTTTGTATTATAGTATCCATCGTCCAGATTGATAACAGCAGCATGCAATCAAACTTAGTTTTTTCCTTCCTGCCCCAACTTCTGTAATCCTTAGTAGTTGCTGAGCAATGCCCACTAAATCTCTCCCATACTTCAACAACTGTGGGGCCTGGCACTGTCATTCTGTCCATTACTGCCCAGTTTCTCAGCTGGCTCCTCCCCCTCATTCTCCCAAATGAACCGGCTCCTGCTCACCTCCTATCTCACTCCCGCTTTCCCTATCAGTCACCTCATTCATTCCCACCACTTCTGGGATAATCGCAAAACATTCTATCTACAGACCCACTTACACTGAGACCACATTTTCTACTGGACACCAGACATGCCTCCCAAGCACAAGTCTGCGGATCAATTCAGGGCTTGTTGCCTAAGAATCCACTGGGAAGTATGTTAAAAATACACATTTCTGGCCAGGCACAGTGGCTCACACCTATAGTCTCAGCATTTTGGGAAGCGGAGGCAGGCACATCACTTGAGGTCAGGAGTTCAACACCAGCCTGGCCAACACGGTAAAATCCCGTTTCTACTAAAAATACAAAATTTAGCCAGGCATGGTGGTGGCGCGTGCCTGTAGTCCTATCTACTTGGGAGGCTGAGGCATGAGAATCACTTGAACCCAGGAGGAAAAGGTTGCAATGAGCAGAGATCGTGCCACTGCACTCCAGTCTGGGTGATAGAGCGAGACTCCATCTCAAAAAAAATTAAAAAAACAACAAAACACACATTTCTAAGCCCTCTCCATAGATACTATGAGTCAGTACACCTAGCATAAGGTCAAGGGAGCTGTACCTTTAAAGCTGTGAAAATGATTTTGACGGGAAGCCAGACACTGCCAGATACTGCAACTGCCCATCACCTCCTAATCCTCACACGTTAGAAAAAGAAGCCATAATCTTAACAAACTTGCTCTCTCACCTGTGCTCCCCATCTCAGCTCAGAATATCAGTTACTTCCGGGTCACTTTTGTTCAAAACCAATCTACCCTTGGAACACGGGGTAGACCTGCCTCTGAAAGCACAGTCGGAACAAGTCCTCTCCGACTGCACACGGAGCCCAAGACATTCAGCACATCATGCCCAGCCCTCCACCACCTGCCACTCTCTGCCTCCCACTTCAGCCTTCCCAGAGCCACCACAGCTCAGGCACAGGACGCTCCTCCCGGCCCCAACTGAGCCCTCTGTGCCCATCCTTTCTGGTCGTCTTGGACTGCTCTCCTACGAGAATCACCTCAGCTCCAACTCCACCTAACCAAACCTCACTCGGCGCTCCAGCTCAACGCAAAGCAAAACTTTCTCGCTGCTCTGCTCTCGGTGGTCAGGGTAAAAGCACTCTCTCTCTAGAAAGCTGTCAAAGTACTCTTTGCACAAACGTGATAGGATTTCTCACACTCTGCCTTACTTCCCTCCATCAGGATGATCTGGGCACCTCTGTCCTCAGAGTAGAAACTGTTCTCATTTTTCCCCCATACTCTGAAATTCTTCACAGATTTGCCTTGAATGCACTGTTAAATTTTGAAATCTAACGTGTAAATTGCTGAATAGCATACAATGTAGAATTTATAAAACCTGTGGTTTCATGAGCCATCTGTGTATTATCAGGCAATCTAGCTTTCTCCAAATCTCTGCCCTCAATTTCCACACACTATTACTAATCACATAAAAGAGCTAAAGAGCACACCAAAATAGCACTTCACCTGCCTCCTACCTGTATGCTGTTACCACTTTCCACTAATAGCTGGGCGGGCTGAGCACTGAGTCATTAAGAGTGCCATTTTCTGAATCATCCACACCACTTCCTGCTCTTAATTCTTCTAAGTTAAATATCCAAGAATTGTGCTGACAAAGCCAAATTCTATCTTAAGAAATAAAATGGGTTTAAAACCTAAAAAAGTATAGCCTTTTTATTTGTCTCACTGAATGTTCACTACAGAATGCATACCTGAGTTGGGGTAGAGACAAACATCATTAAGGTCATGCTCTGGCTCCAAGGAAGTAAATATCTTTCCCTAAAAATAGCAAGCAAAAATGAATTACTAAAGGTTAAAGGACAACAACTTTTGGCAATGTCAAATAAACTGAAGCTGTAACTCAACCATCTACTCCTATGTAAAGAAATAAAATAGCCTAATTCAAATACAAAATTTAAATTCTTAAAAATCTTAGAGAATTTATCTTATCAATTTATCAAAAAAACCCATTTTATAGATGAAGAAACAGGCCTAGGGAGGAGAAGTGACCTGTCCAAAAAAACAAAAAAGAAAAATTGCAACATTTTAAAGATAATGTCAACATAGGAAGAAAAGATGAAGTTTAAATTATGCATCAACTTAAAAAAAATCTTTCATAATCTGTGAAGCGTACCCAGTTTAACTTGTATTGAAAGAAATCAGAGGACGGCTGGAAGGAGTGGCTCACACCTGTAATACCAGCACTTTGAGAGGCTGAGATGTGTAGATCACTTGACGTCAGGAGTTCAAGACCAGCCTAACCAATATGCTGAAACCCGACTCTACTAAAAATACAAAAATTAGCCAGGCATGGTGGCCTGGGATCTAGTAATCCCAGCTACTAGAGAGACTGAGGCAGGAGAATTGCTTGAACCCAGGAGGTGGAGATTGTAGTCAGCCAAGATAGCACGACTGCACTCCAGCCTCGGGTGACAGAGTGAGACTCCATCTCAAAAAAAAAAAAAGAAAGAAATCAGAGGAGAGAGATGGCCAGCATGGAAAATGAGAACAACACTGCCATGCCTGCACCGCAAGTTTTCGAGGAGGATCAAGTGAGACAATGGATATAAAATACAAAATGAAATCCTACAAATACTTAAGCGTTAGTTACTATGTAGTTAGGGCTAAACCATTTCTATTTTAAGTGTTGGGGGAAGAGTGTTCTATCTTTCAAAAATTAAGAGAAGGAAAGTAAAAGAAAAAGATGCTAAGAAGGTGGGTGTGGAAAAAGATGATGAGAAAGATAAACAAGGTAAGCAAGTCAGGCAAAACCAAGTAATGTGGGTGTTAGTCAAGAGGAAGTCTTTAGTCATAAGAAACAAAAAAAATGCCAAAATAAAATTTACTGTAGCAATTACAGTGTGATTTCAAGAAGTGATGTTGAAAATTTCTGCCAGCTCTTGCATTTGTAACTCATTATGAGAAGTCTGACACTAGGATGGACTGAGTGCCCACGGCAAAAAAGAGCAGTGTCAGAGCACAGACAAGATGGTTTGTGTCCAACGAAGAACACAGACAAGTCCTACCCCAAGACTAACAGTGAGACTCACACAGCTGCCTCCCGTTCTTCTCAAGTTCCCACTGAAAGAGGAAGGAAAAGAGGGGAAACCAGGAAGCGAGGGGAAAGGAATTAGAATGGTACAGAACAACAATGACAAAAAGGTGTCAAAGGTGATACTAATCCACACATTGGAAACTACGCAGAAGTTAAAGGGTATGGAAAGACACATCCAGATTGGTAACAGTCTTTCCCTTAGGCTGGATGAAAGCCAGGTCAAGGATAAATAACTTCTACTTTACCAGTGTTTTATGAATTTTTAAGAATAAAAACATAAGCATTTGCAGTATTAAAAATAAATATTGTTTTAATGCCAATTAGTTTGAATTGCCAGAAAAACAGCAGAGAAAGGTCTGGTCTAAGATCACGAATCATCCTTAAAAAAGCCCTCAATATCCTCCAAACTCAAAGCCAGCAAAGCAGACAGCACAGACACTTCCCTGGGCAATCATCAGGGTAATTCTTCCAAGAATTTAGACAGACTGAAAGCCTGTCTTTTTCTTTATGTTCTTCTCTGTAACATAAACAAAGTCACCAGAACTTATGAATGAGGTGACGGCCTCAGGGATGTAGAACACACATCTGGTCTCCAGGAGAGATCCAGAGAAAAAAGGAAAATAAGCCAAGGAAGACCCATACTTCAGGAATTAACAAAATGAAATTTAAAAAACCAAAGTAACAGCCTAGAAAGCCAGAGACTCAACAGGCAGCTGAACTGTGAGGGGCTGTCTGTAGCATGTCTGAGCACAGGCAGCCCCCACGGAATAGACTGGCACTTGCACTGAGGCACGAACTGCTGAGGCTGGTGGACCGTTCACCCAACTTCATCACAAATAAGTTTTCAAAAATGATCTGTTTTTAAACTAAGAACGCTAAGTTTCTAATGAATTAAATGCAAAGAACTCTTAAAAGCATAGCTATACTGAATGCATTTTTCCCATTGATTTGATGAACTTTTTACTATTCTCTCAAAATACTTCGGTTTTAAAATGAAAAATGAAAAACAGAAGACAGATTAAAACCAGCAATACAGGATTTTGTTACATTTCAAACGACATTTAGAGCTGAGGAAAAGGAACATCAAAATATTCTTAAGAAATACAGCTTTTAAGGCCAGATGTGGTAGCTCACGCCTATAATCCCAACACTTTAGGAGGTCGAGGCAGGCAGGATCATTTGAGGCCAGGAGTTCAAGACCAGCCTGGCCAACAAGATGAAACCTCATTGCTACTAAAAATACAAAAATTAGCCGGGCATGGTGGCGCAAGCCTGTAATCCCAGCTACTCCAAGGCTAAGCCATGAGAATTGCTTGAAACCAGGAGGCCGAAGTTACAGTGAGCTGAGATCATAGCACTGCACTCCAGCCTGGGCAACAGAGCAAAACTCTGTTTCAAAAAAAAGGAAAAGTATAAATTTGAGATGTGTAACAACACAAACATGCATGGAAGGATAATTAGTGGCTCTTAAAAACTTTTCCTACATCTGTGAGGGAATCTCGATATCTAGGGGGTTTCTCAGGTCATGGATCAACTTTTTTAAACCATGATTTTCTCTCCACCTAACTTAACATCTAAAATGGATGGCAGTTCTAGATAATCAGGAAAATTTCTTAACAGAAAGAAAGCAATCATGAGTATCTTATCTATCCAAAAGGAACTGCCCTCCCACTAAGTTCCCAAATGGATATTCAGTATCTCTTTCTCAACAACCCACGTGAAAAAGGCAATGGAGAGGAAAGGATCATTCGGAACACCTGCAAATAAAGAAGCAAGTAATTTCAACCAAAAATACATACGGAGTTCTTATTCCACATCTTGATAATTCGAGAGTCAGCAGACAAAATCAGATCTAATGAATCCTGGAAATGAACGGACTTAATGGGCAGCCCATACTGGTGATCTTTAACTAGCAATGGCTTATCAGATCGAAGGTCATATAATAAAACCTGAAAAAAAAAAATCAAAACCAAGTTATTTCTGTTTAAACAAACTAGACATTTTATCTTCAAACGAAATATTTATAAGTGAGAATAATGGCAGCCATTTTCTTCATTACTTTGTTATGAACACAATGAACACCCTTATTCAAGATGTTGAGATTTGAGATTCTCTCCAGAAAGATCTCTTAAATAATCCTTAAAGTATACATTTTATGAATTCAACCCCCAGGGTAATTTTTAAGAGTACTGAACATACTAAGAAAGGAACAAAAAATGAAATCCCATAAGAATTTGTTTAATTTGTTCAACAAATACATACTGAGGGCCTACATACCAGGCAGTGTCATAGCAACAGATATAAACAAAAATGAAAGACATAATTAGCAACAGTCCTAGTAGATTCAAGACAGGTGGTGGTAGCAAGGCTATGACTTCTTGGGAGAAGGGGAAATCTCTTCGGACCCCTGTCATTAGGGGCAAGGAAGCCTGGGGAAGCTCCCCTAGGATTAAGTCCTAGGTGACAGATCCCCTCCAGCCTATGATGACAGAGAAAGCTAATCTTCCAAGGCAGGGTTTCAGACCTCTTGCAGGGTGAGGCAAGTGTACAGGCTCCGCCTTGAAGGAAAGAAAGAAGTACTCCTCGGACTAGCACTGCTAATGCATGTTCTGCTGACCACTCATGGCATGGGCTATAGTTAATGATGCTATGTTTAAAAAACAAAAAAAGCCTCCTTGAACACACGAATTTTGGAAATATTTATTAAACATATTTCTTGTCTGCAAGAATTCCTCAGTGCCTTTATTTAAAAAGTACTGAAACCCACTGTGAATCTTCAAGAGTAGAAGTCTGGCAGTCTCCCAAGACTGTCTGACCACAGAATTCTGTTCCATAGACTCTGAGAAATGCTGTTCCAAACCACTAATGAGAGTACTTATGGCCAGGCCCAGTGGCTCACGCCTGTAATCCCCACACTTTGTGAGGCTGAGGTGGGAGGATCGCCTGAGCCCAGGAATTCAAGACCAGCTTGGGCAACACAGTGAGACCCTGTCTCTACAAAAAGTCAAAAACTTAGCCAGGTGTGGTGGTGCAGGCCTATCCCACTGCAGCTCCAAGTCCACAGCACCACAGACTGACCAAGGCAAGAGTCAAGATTTCTCAAGATGCTAGAAGAATCCAGCATTAAGGCATACCCCCTGCTCTGGCTAAAATAGTATGGCCTCATTTTGTGTTCCTATAGTATATTTCTCATGACACATACACACACCACTGAAATAAAAACTTAGATGTGAAGTTTTCAAATTAAACATATTTACCTGCCCTGTGGATGTTCCAACTGCCATGGTCAAGGCACCATTAAATTTCAAAGCAGAGATTGTTGGTAAATTGTTTATCCTGAAAAGCAAAATATTCATGCTTCATGAATATATGGCCAAACCTCCTTCCAAGTAACAAGTTCATTATTAATCTTCACTTCAAATCTAATGGGGGAAAAAATCACATTTCTAGCCTTCTGTTTAAAAGGTAACTGCAGCCTGGTAAGATGACTCACACCTGTAATCCCAGCATTTTAGGAGGCTGAGGTGGGAAGATTTCTTGGGGCCAGGAATTCAAGACCAGCCTGGGCGACACAGTGAGACACCATCTCTACAAAAAATTTTAAAAAAAAAAAGCCAGTTGTGGTGACACACACCTGTTGTCCCAGCTGTTTGGGTGGCTGAGATATGAGACTGCTTGAGCCTGGGAGGTCGAGGCTGCAGTGAGCTGTTATTATTCCACTGCGCTCCAACTGGGACAACAGAGCAAGACCCTATCTCAAAAATAATAAGTAAATGGTAATTGTATTCAAACTTTCATAATCAAAATAAAATTACACTTTATATACAAAATGTAATCTACTTCTTTCTTCCATTTTAATTAAGCCAGAATAAGGTATTTACAGAAACATCCCCTTTTATATTTAAGAAGAAATAATTTTGTTTGGATATGGGTACACCATTTCCACTTTAAAATTAGCCAAGCTCAGCTAAAACAAAAGACTAATCCTCAAATGGGGACCCCAGAGCCTCTGAAAGTACCAAAGACAGAGTGAACACTATGGCCACAACTCTAGAATATGCTTCTCAAATACCAATCAAGCCAATCAGCAGCAAAAGCAACGATCTCCAGTGGAAAGAGTGCTAGGCGATGAGTCAGATGTGGACAATATTGCTATCAATCCCATCGTCCACATGCCCTTGGCCCAGGACCTAGAGTCCTGGCTGTTGGCTTTCGTCATCATCAGATCTCTTCTGCCACCTAGAGCTTGAGCCTGTAACTGCACTGGGGCACCTATGGGAACCTTGAAGCCTCTTATCTACAGCAACTTTAGTCACTCGCTCTTCAAAGTACACTCAATCATTTCTTTCAGTACAGTGATAGATTTCTCTACTTATTCCTTTATCATTTTCTTCATATGTATTTTTTTGGAGACAGGGTTTCACTCCTGTTGCCCAGATTGGAGTGCAGTGGCATGATCTCAACTCACTGCAACCTCCACCTTCCGGTTCAAGCAATTCTCCTGCTTCAGCCTCCCAAGCAGCTGGGACTACAGGTGTGCGACACCACTCAAAGCTGATTTTTGTATTTTTTTTGTAGAGATGGGTTTTCATCATGTTGCCCAGGCTGGTATTGAACTCCTGACCCCAAGTGATCCACCCGCCTTGGCCTCCCAAAGTGCTGAGATTACAGGTGTCAGCCACCACACCTGGCCCATATATGTTATCGAGTTTTACAATTTTTGTTGCTATAAGAATGTTTTTCCATTTATAACCTTTCTAGCCGGATAGTGCTAATAAATAACAAGGTCACTGATTTTTGCACATTTTATAACCAATTTATTTAACTGTTATATTAGTTCTTACAGATTTTCAGTTATTCTCCTGAGTTTCCCAGGCACAGAAATTTATGTCATCTGGAAATGGCAGCCTGCTTCCCCTATCTTATTGCCTTCTCATATTGTGTTGGTTCCACCTAGAACTGATAGCTTCTAAGGTTTGCAGGGAAAACAAAAACAAAAAAACTAAGCATAAAAAAAATAAAATAAAATTGCCTAAAATCGAATTAGAAAAAAAACCCCTAGTTTTAACATTCTGGTATACACCCAGGCTTCTTCCTGTGACTATGCTTGTGTTCACTGTTTTTCTGGTAACAAGGTGGCAACACTCTATAGGCAACGATATGGTTTGCTTTTCCACTCACAGGCACATTTGGACCACCCTTCCCCAGTAATAAATATGTTTCTGTAACATAATTCTTAAAGGCTGAATAACAGGTATGCCATTGATGAGTATTTTGTTCATCTGTAAAATAAATATAATAACAGTGCCTATAGCAAAGGGCTGTCATATTAAATAAGTTAATATATGTAAAGAACTTAGACCTAGTACCTGGCAAATAGAAAGCACTATCTGTTAGCTATTATTTCTGCTAAGCTTCATTTAATCAATATCCGCACGTTCTTTCCAAGACTTATTGTTGGCAGGGCTGTGATGGACTGTCCAGGCTGAGGAGAGTGAGCAAATGCATGCTCTGGGCACACAGGCAGACATTTAACCTGAGGTTATGTTTTCTGTAGGGCAATTTAGCAATGTACCAAAAACCTTCAAAACATGTATGCTATTTACTCCAGAAATTCAGGTTCTAGGTATCTTTTCTTAGGAAATATCATAAAACTGTAAATGGATGTATAATAGTGAAAACTCTTCCGGTTGTTTTAAATGTAGGAATTAGGGAAACAGGAACAAGAAAATATTAAAAAAACACTTGCTTCCTTCCACCTTAGAATTCAAAGCACACCTCTGTGGACTTTGTGGTGGACTCCTGGTTCTATCACTAGATCCTACAAAATCGGAATATAAATTCCTGCAGTGTAATTGTTTTAATAAAATTCTACAGCAACTAAAGAAACAAGACCTTCTGTACAGTATTTGGAAAGAAATTCTATCTGGCTTACTCACTAGTAAGCTTTTTACAGGAGAGGATTTTTATGAAAAACAATCATGGAAAGTACAATTTCAGATACCCTTTAGCAATTTATTTGAATTTAATACAGATACATTACTGAAATCAAAAGTTGATGAAAACTGACATTGCAAATTAATTTCTACTTACTCTGAATCTGCTGTGACACTGTTTAAGGCGCAGTCTAACAGACCAACTCTATTTCGAGTTCTTGGGTCCCAGCACTCCACTCTACCCTACGCAAATGAAAAACAATTTAAAATAAAAGCTATAGAAGGCCAGACACAGTGGCTCATGCTTGTAATCCCAGCACTTTGGGAGGCTGAGGCGGGCTGATCACCTGAGGCCAGGAGTTCGAGACCCAGTCTGACTAACATGGCGAAACCGTTTCTACCAAAAATACAAAAAATTAGCCAGGTATGTGGCACACACCTGTAATCCCAGCAACTCGGGAGGCTGAGGCAGAAGAACTGCTTGAACCCAGGAGGCGGAGGTTGCAGAGAGCCGAGATTGCGCCATTGCACACCAGCCTGGGCAACAGAGTGAGACTTTGTCTCAAAAAAAAAAAAAAAAAAAAAAAAAAAAAAAAAAAAAAAGCTGTAGAATAAAACTTAAATAAATAAAATCTGCTACTAGGAAATCCTTAAAACACATACAAAAATAAACCTAATTAACACTGTTTATTTCATAGAAAGTAAAAGTTTAACTGTTTACCTTATAACCTCTTTAGTACTGTTTAAGTGTTTTGACATGAGCTGAATTTCTTTTAAATTACAAAAAAAAAACCCCAAAAAACCAGATTAATAAAACAGTCCAAAATGCAATGCATAATCTTGACTGGAACTTGGATTGGATGGAGGGGCAGGGAGAACCGTGCTGAAGGATATCTTGGTATAACTGGGAAAATTTTTAAATTTAAAATGATTGCATCAATGTTAACTACTTAATATATATTATTGCACTAATATTAAATTTATTAGTAATGATAACGATACATATATGACTTTATAGGAGAAAGTCCTTATTTTTAAGAAATCCATTTTAAAGTATTTAGGGAAGAAATATCATGTCTGCAACTTATTTTCAAATGGTTCAAAAAACATTTTTAATACATGTACATTTTTATAGGAAAAGAAAATGCAAAATATATATAAGTTATCACTAAACTTTTACAAAGATGTGAACTCTTTAAAAATAAAAAGCTGGGGAAAATTTTTTTTTTTTAATGAAAAAAAGAATCCTGGCCAGGCGCGCTGGCTCACTCCTGTAATCCTAGCACTTTGGGAGGCCGAGGCAGGTGGATCACCTGGGGTCAGGAGTTCGAGATCAGACTGGCCAACATGGCAAAACCCCATCTCTACTAAAAATACAAAAATTAGCCAGGCATGGTTGTGCGTGCCTGTAATCCCAGCTACTAGGAGGGCTGAGGCAGCAGGATCACTTGAATCTGGGAGGCGGAGGTTGCAATGAGTGGAGATGGTGCCACTGCACTCCAGCTTGGGTGACAGAGCGGGACTTTGTGTCGAAAAAAATAAATAAATATATACAAACACACACATACATATATATGTATATAAAAGCTATCACCTCATTATCCTGCTCTAAGGAATCAAGCAACTCAGTCTTTAAAGTCCAATCAAATATAAAACAAATATTCTAAAAAACAAAGTCAATATATGCTTACCTCTATGGTTCCTGTGGCAAACAAGCCATGCACTGAATTTATGTCACAAACATTATTCTCCCTAACACAGGAAAGCAGTAAGAGAGAAAGTATTAGTTAGCACCTACTTTAGCGGGGAAGGAATATTAAATAAATAAACAGCCAACCCAAATTCTGGGGAGAAAGAAGACACACAGATTCTCTCTCACTAATCTGCAAATGGAAAACACCAAGGTTTGAAAGAGTTAAGTGCTTGGCTCACAGTCACTGGAGTTTCTGATCCCCAGGGTGACACTCTACCTGCTAGGTGACAAACGAGCAGGACTTCCTTCTGAAATACTATTCCACTACCATGAGAAGAAAGGGTCACTCTATTTTTTCAAGGTATTTTCTTCCAAGGCAGGTAACATTCTTAAAAGAACACACGCCATCACCATGGCAATCCTGAGCCTTGACAAGCTTCTCCTGGGTACATCACTCTAAGTCTCATTTTCTTTCTCTGTAAAATGGATATTTCACCTACCTCAGGGGGTTGTTATGGGGATTAAATGAAAAAGACAGCAAAGTGTTCAGCAGTGCCTGGGGTACAGAGGACTCTCAATATAATGCACTGTGAAGTTACTACTACAAGTTTTTAAAAAAAAAAAAAAAGCATTTCTAGCCAATGTGAAATAAAGAAAACTGGAGTTTACTTGGTTCTTATCATCACAACATGTTCGCCTAACCTTTAAAAATCCTCTCAAAGCACTAAGAAAAATTCAGCAAGCTCTTCATATACACAATGAGAAGTAATCCAGCTTCCACTCTTGACTAGCTGTGTGGCCTTGGGCAAACTACTTACCTCTCTGAGCCTCAGCTGCCCTATCTGTAAGATGGTACTTACCATAGAAATCTCTTCTAAGTTTAAAATGAGTTAATGAAAGTAAAATGACTGAATAACACCTGGCACAAAGTAAGTGCTTTCCTACTGAGTTTATCGCTATTATTTGTTGTGATGATGACGATGATGGATTCTTTCCTAAAAACTCTTAAAGCATAATACATATGTGCAGACTATAATGTATGATAAAAGGAAACTTTAAAAACCTTAAATGTGCACTAGCAAAGCATAAAAATTGAAAAATGGCACTCCAAATTAATTCAAAATTTCTCCACAGGAGAAAATATCACAAAACAAAACCATGAATGTAAATTTAAAGAACATTGCAAGTCATAATAATAAACTATTTTTAACTGACTTAAATTTGAGTATATGAAAAAAAGCTTTAATTTTGAAAGTAATCACCGATCTTTCGGTGAATTTTTTGTTTAAGAATAAATTCAACAGCACTTTTTAACTAAGTTGCTGGGAGTTTTGCTTAATTGCAGTATTTTATGTTACTTGTTAACAAACTGAGCATCTGGCTCCACCTCCTGGTCAAAATGTATATAGCAGTATTACTAAACCAATACTCACGCAGCATCAGTTTGTAGAGGATTCAGGTATCGTCCTTGTTCTAAGTTTAACCTATAAACTTCAGAACTGTAAAGTAATAAAGAAAGTCAAAAACCTGCTAAACTACAATGAAACTTTAAGTAAATATAAATTTTATAAATATATATCACTCATAAGCCATCACTTCTTTTTATAAAACTAATACAAAAACGTATTCTAAATCTGAAAAATATTCACTTTATGAATTTGTTCATGTATAAAAGTGATTTAAACCATTCACATGCCAAGAAAATATTATTAAGTCATTACATAGTATACTATTTACAAATAAGATGGAGAATACAAGATCCAAAAGTACACGTAATGTATCTACATATGTATATAAGAAAAGACTAGAAGGAAACATATTAAGGATTCTCTCTGGGTGGTATAATTATGGCTGAATTTTTTCTTTTTTTTTAGGATGGAGTTTTGCTCTTGTTGTCCAGGTTGGAGTGCAATAGTGCAGTCTCAGCTCACAGGCGCCCGTCACTACACTCGGCTAATTTTTCGTATTTTTAGTAGACGCAGGGTTTCACCATGCTGGCCAGGCTGGTCTTGAACTCCTGACCTCAGGGGATCTGCCCACCTTGGCCTCCCAAAGTGCTGAATTACAAGCATGAGCCACAGTGCCCAGCCTGAATTTTTTCTTTTCTGTATTTTCGCAGTTTTCTAAAATGGGTATGTATTTGTATATATTTTTTCATGTATTATATATATATATACACACACACACACATACATATACACACATACATATAAACACACACACATAATAGCCACCAGCCAAATACCTGGTCAAATGCTACTTTTTTGATGACTATAAAAATAATACAGGCGGGGCGCAGCGGCTCATGCCTGTAATCCCACTTTGGGAGGCCGAGGTGGGCAGATCATGAGGTCAAGAGATCGAGACCATCATGGCCAATATGGTGAAACCCTGTCTCTACTAAAAATACAAAAATTAGCTGGGCGTGGCAGGGCGTGCCTGTAGTCCCAGCTACTCAGGAGGCTGAGGCAGGAGAATCGCCTGAACCTGGGAGGCGGAGGTTGTAGTGAGCAGAGATTGCACCACTGCACTCCAGCCTGGTGACGGAGCTAGGCTCCATCTCAAAAAATAATAATAATAATAATAATACAGGCCAGGTACAGTAGCTCACACCTGTAATCTCAACACTTTGTGAGGTCAAAGAAAGAAGATCATCTGAGCCCAGGAGTTCAAGACCAGCCTGGGAAACATAATGAGGCCCCATCTTTATAAAAAACTAAAAAACCAAAAAGGTACTTCGAACAAAAAGTTTTGAAATACTGTGCAATAGGGCTAAGAAACTGACTTTATCAACTACATTATACATGTATATCTCCAAATTTAGCACCATAGTAACAGAAGCCAAAGATATAACTCCTAAATGAGTTGGTCACATATAGGAATTATACCCTGTGAGCAACTTAAATGTAAAGATAATGTCTTATTCTTCTTTAAAAAAATTAGTCCTTCAAATACTGCTGTACTTTCGGGGGGAAAAAGGGGTGTTTCTATTGAAGTTATACTAAATTTTTGCCTACAGTTTATCCTGTTAAATATTGTAGATAAATTGCCAATACTAATAGTCAAATAGATACACTAATGGCTTTGGTTAAAAAAAAACAAAAAAAAAAAACAAAAAACAACAACAACAACAAAAAAAACCAGGCCCGGCACTGTGGCTCATGCCTGTAATCCCAGCACTTTGGGAGGCCAAGGCAGGTGAATCACCTGACGAGACGAGCCTGTCCAACAAGGTGAAACCCTGCCTCTACTAAAAACACAAAAATTAGCTGGATGTGGTGGTGGGTACCTGTGGTCTCAGCTACTCGGGAGGCTGGGGCAGGAGAACCACCTGAACGGAGGCGGATGTTGCTGTGAGCTAAGATCATACCACTGCACTCCAGCCTGAGCGACAGAGCGAGAATCCCTCTCAAAAAAAAAAAAAAAAAAAAAACAGAAAAACAAAACAAAACAAAAAACATGGGTAGGTAGTGGTGTTCTAAAGTTATGACATCTGTCCTAATTAATTTCTTAAATACATTTACTACTTAATGGTTTTGAAACAACTGTTTTTTTAAAATTTTGAAAACTTGATAATGACCTTTTGTTCAGAATTTCGTAGACTGTTTAACGTAGGACATCAACTACACAATGAAAGATGCTTGAAATGCTTTCGTCATTTCACACAAATCAAATTAAATCAAACTATCAAACTACCAAAAATAATAAAGCCCTCTCCCAATTTTTTTTTTTTTTTTTTGAGACGGAGTCTCGCTCTGTCACCCGGGCTGGAGTGCAGTGGCCGGATCTCAGCTCACTGCAAGCTCCGCCTCCTGGGTTTATGCCATTCTCCTGCCTCAGCCTCCCAAGTAGCTGGGACTACAGGCGCCCGCCACCTTGCCCGGCTAATTTTTTGTATTTTTTAGTAGAGACGGGGTTTCACCGTGTTAGCCAGGATGGTCTCAATCTCCTGACCTCGTGATCCGCCCGTCTCGGCCTCCCAAAGTGCTGGGATTACAGGCTTGAGCCACCGCACCTGGCCCCTCTCCCAATTTTTTTAAACTAGAGTCCATAACCACATATGACCTATTAATCACAAAGTGATCAGATAGAAACTGATTACTGACATGAAACAATCTTAGAGACAGAAATCTAGAAGATAAACAGAAAACTAAAATACCATGTCTCGTAAATTGTGGTAATTGGGCTAAACTGAAAAGGTTCACACACTTCCCATCAGTATTTCCCAATGAGGCAGGTAACTATCAAAGATATTTTTAACATTAGAAAATATTGTATTAAGCAAAACAACAGTTGTTAAAACAGCATATGGTACTTATAAGTACCATATGTAGATTATGTAGTACCATATGTAGATTATGTAGAAATCAATTATGTAGAAAATAATTTTTTTTTTTGCCTATCCTTTGTTTTTTACTTTTTCTTTTTTTTTTTTTTTTACAAGAGCCACATATCACTTTTTTATTAAAGCAAGCTATCTACAGAAAATGTACAAGAAATTTAGGAACAGAAGTTGGTTGTTTTAGGAGGTGAAAAGGAGAAAGAGGGACTAGATCCGATACCTTGCACCAACAAAGTACAAGTCACAAGATGGATAGTGGTAAGAGAAATCTCTCCCGAACTTTGGTATTCTGGTTTTGTAGTAAAAACCTGATTGTGAATGAAATTCAATGTATCTATCATTATGTAAGAAGACAACCTGAAAATAAAACAAAAAAAATTAATTTGCTTAGGTTCCTAGTTAGGTGTTTATTTCATTATCACTAAAACACTGGCAAACCAAGAAAAACTCTTACCTCTCTCTCTCTCTCTCTCTCTCTCTGTCTGAACACACATGTCTGTGCACACACACTCCACTGGGATTAAGAATGAAAACTCCCCAATGGCTCCTTAATGCCTTCCTGCATCCTGATAGCTTTTCTGCAAACCTTACATACTAATTAAAGACTAGCAACAAATGCCCTTCATTTACCTGGCATGAGCATGTCATAACACAGAGCACTCTCATGGTACCCTCAATGAGCAGCTTCCTCTTTCACTTGGGAACACATTTAAATAATCCCGGCGGGGTGCAGTGGCTCACACCTATAATCCCAGCACTTTGGAAGGACGAGGCGGATGGATCACCTGAGGTCAGGAGTTTGAGACCAGCCTGACCAACATGGAGAAACCCCGTCTCTACTAAAAATACAAAAGTAGCTGGGCATGGTGGCGGGCACCTGTAATCCCAGCTATTCGGGAGGCTGAGGCAGGAGAATCACTTGAACCCGGGAGGCAGAGGATGTAGTGAGCCAAGGTTGCACCATTGTACTCCCAGCCTGGGCAACAAGAGTGAAACTCTGTCTCAAAAAATAAAAAACAAAAAATGATAATAATAATCCCACCATTATCACACAAGGTATGATAAACTCCTTGTATCTTTGACTTTAGTGTCAAAGATACTCCTTGTAACTTGACTTTAGTGTACTAAAGGGGTATCTCAAACATCAACAGATGGTATTTAAAGGCAAATTGGTCAGTATTTAGAGAAAATACACTCTAAAATTACATGTTCCAAAACATGATAAATGACACCATAGACAAAAGGATAAACTGTACCAGATAGTTTCCAAAACTGAAAATACAAAGTCATGTCAGCTAAGAAAATTCAATTTTCTTTCAAGATGCCATTTGACATCACTAAAAATGTTTTACTTTTAAATCCAAGAGTTTACTGACAATTTTATAACTGTTGAAAGTGACTATAAGAGTTGAAAGATGGGTTGGGCGCCGTGTCTCATGCCTATAATTCCAACACTTTGGGAGGCCAAGGCAGGCGGATCACTTGAGGTCAGGAGTTTGAGACCAGTCTGGCCAACCTGGTGAAACCCTGTCTCTACTAAAAATACAAAAATTAGCCAGGTGTGGAGGCGCACACCTGTAGTCCCAGCTACTCAGGAGGCTGAGGCAGGAGAATCATTTGAACTTGGGAGGTTGATGCTGCAGTGATCCGAAATTAAGCCACTGCCCCTCCAGCCTGGGTGACAGAGGGAGGCCCTGACTCCAAAAAGAGTTGAAAGATGGACTAATGGCACCAAAAAAAGAAATAAATCTACTTAGCTATATTTTGAACTGTTTCAGAATATACCCCAACAATTTGCAAAGTTAAAAAAAAAAAAATTAAACATACAACCCTGCTAGTTTACTTTTCACATATAAATAAGAAAATGAAAGCAACCTGGTATACAAATCCAGGTTAAACGTAAAAATCAGAATCACAAATCTAGAATATAAGATGATATAAAACATAACTGCTGCCAATTCTTAAAAATATAAATAAGGTTTCATATATGATATGAAAAATTAACTTTGATATTAGATTGGCCAAAGGCTATCTGTATCATTGTATTATTAATAAAAAATGATGGGTTACATTTTACTACACAGCCATTTTTGTTTAACAGTAGAACTACACAGCCATTTTAGTTTAACAATAAAAATATCATAAAACTGCTTATCATCAAAATAAATTCCACTCATTCATTTGTTGGGTCTAGTCAGTACAAACCAATGCTATAAAACATACCTTTGAGTAGTCATCAGACAAAATTTCAAAGGTGACAACTGAAAAACAAGAAATAGGAAAAATACAATTATCAATCAACATTCTTAATAACAATGCAAACTTGATGCAAAGATTCTAATTCAACACACAAATTATGCATATACCAGTTTTTTTTCTGCCTCTACGTGAAACAAGAAAATTGTCATAGTATATTGTCCCAAAACACCAACAAAAACTTGAAAGCTTCATAATTTCTCAATACATATCAACTAGGTTTCTTGTACAACTGAAAGCAAATTCACAAAATATAATGACTTCTAAATTCGGACACTCTTTCTGAGATGTTGAAAACAAAATCATTTTAAAGACTTTCAAGGCCGGGTGCAGTGGCTCAAGCCTGTAATCCCAGCACTTTGGGAGGCCGAGGTGGGCGGATCATGAGGTCAGGAGATCGAGACCATCCTGGCTAACATGGTGAAACCCAGTCTCTACTAAAAATACAAAAAATTAGCCGGGCGTGGTTGCTGGTACCTGTAGTCCCAGCTACTCGGGAGGCTGAGGCAGGAGAATGGCGTGAACCCGGGAGGCGGAGCTTGCAGTAAGCCAAGATCACACCACTGCACTCCAGCCTGGGCAACACAGTGAGACTCCGTCTCAAAAAAAAGAAAAGACTTTCAAATATACATTAAAGAACATTAAAAAAACTGTTGCTTAACAAAAAAGATAAGTCATTTTTTACCCATTCATAGTCTACCTGATAAACAAAAAGAGTGAAAAATAGCCATTATTAGTGGCACACAGAGTTTCTACTGTTTTCAATAAACAAAGTAAGACCCTATCACTATGGGGGAAAAAAAAACAGAAAAAAAAATTAGCCAGGCACGGTGATGCACACCTGTGGTCCCAGTTATTTGGGAGACTGAGATAGGCGGATCTCTAGAGCCTGGGTAGCTGAGGCTGCAGTAAGCTGTGACCACAACACTGTACTCCAGCCTGGGTGACAGAAAAAGATCCTGTTTCTAAAAAGTAAAAAAACAAACAAACAAAAAAAAACAAAAAAAAAACCCAGAGGGTGAAACAAGTTGGGAGACTATGCATATAATTCCACAGACCACATATTCCATTAACTCCTTTCCCCTCAATCCCAAATTCTAGGCCAATTGATAAAAGTATTTGAACTTTCTCATTTTAATTTGACTTTGGTGTCATTCAGAATTCTAAGAATGACCCCCAGTGACCTTTACCCTTGTATAACCCCTTTCCCTTGAGAGTGTGGGTGGAAACTGTGAATTGATAAGACATTGCTCTAGTGATTACACTACATTTTATGGCAAAGGGGAGATTTATAATCATATGAGCCCTTTAAAAGCAGAGTTTCAGCTGGGTGCAGGGGCTCACGCCTGTAATCCCAGCACTTTGGGAGGCCAAGGTCAGCAGATCACGAGGTCAGGAGTTGGAGACGAGCCTGGCCAAATGTGAAACCCCGTCTCTACCAAAAATACAAAACTTAGCTGGGCGTGGTGAAGTGTGCCCATAAACCCGGCCACTCAGGAGGCTGAGGCAGGAGAATTGCTTAAATCTAGGAGGTGGAGTTTACAGTGAGCCAAGATCGTGCCTCTGCACTCTAGCCTGGGTGACACAGCAAGACTCTGTCTCAAAAATAAATAAATAAAAAATAAAAGCAGAGTTTCTCTGGCTGGCAGCAGAATAAAAAGTCAGAGAGATCCAAAACACAAGGGGCTGGGTGCAGTGGCTCATGCCTGGAATCCCAGCACTTTGGGAGACCAAAGTGAAAGGATGGCTGAGGCCAGGAGTTTGAGACCAGCCTGGGCAACATGACTAGACTCCATCTCTACAAAAAATTATAAAATTAGTAGGGCGTGGTGGCTCACATCTGTAGTTCCAGCTACTTGGGAGGCTAAGGTAGGAGGATCACTTGAGCCCAGGAGTTCAAGGCTACAGTAAACTATGATCATACCACAGTACTCCAGTCTGGGCAATAAGATCCTATCTCTTTAAAAAAATAATAAATAAATAAAAGAAAGAAAAGAAATACAGGGAGGATGTGATGAGCTTTTGCTGGTTTGAAGGTGGAGGTGAGCGTGTGATGAGAAATGCATGTAGCCTCTAGAAGCACAGAGTGGCCCCCAGCTGACAGCCAGAAGGAAATGGGAACCCAATCCTATAACCACAACAAACTGAATACTGATAACAACCTGAGTGTGTTTGGAAGCAAATTCCTTTTGATTTTTTATTTTTATTTTTTTTTGGGGGGGCTTTCTCTGAAAACCAGAAAAGCTGCTAGTCAATTCTAAAAGAACTACAAACTAACACGTGGAAGCATATTCTTGCCCAGCACCTCCAAGTCAGAGCTCCACCTGGTCAACACTCTATGAGTACAGAAGCTGCACAGACTTAAGATCCACACAACTGTGAGCTACTAAATGGATGTTTTAAGCCATCTGGATTGTAGTACAGTAATTTGTTATATAGCAATAAAAAAAAATTACAAACTGTTCTCATTTTAAAACCAGAAAAGCAAACAACATAAAAAGTCATTTTCACGAATTCAAATTTAGCTTTTTACTCACCTTCTGAATCTAAACACCTTTCAAACTTCAAGGATAACTGATAGGTGTCATAACATCGAACCCGAGGTTTATATGTTCCTACAAAAAATTAATGTGATGTAAAACCTAAAGACATACTTTCATAGCCAACATCCACAGATACATTGAGTGTACCTCTTGTTCAGAGACAGGCAGGATTAATTGTAATCAAATCAAAAGAAAGGAATGTAAAAGCAGCTCCTCTCAAACACCCCAAGGAAAAACTGAGCAAAAGCTAAACAAGCAAGTCATAGAAAACCAAACAAAATTACTAAGAAACTTCACAAGTAATCTAACAAAATACATGAAAACGACGGAACAGTTTTGTCCACCAGAATGGCAAAGATTTAAAAAATGGTTAATATCTGTGTTGGTGAAAGTGTAAAATATTCCCATATACTGTTGTTGATTAGTATATAATTGATACAACTTCTTTGAAGGATAATCCCTAAAATACATGATGTTTCTATACTTCCAATCTATATTTCAACTTACACAAATTGAACTCATGGAAATATATCCACAAGCCTGCCAAAGATATCAAGAATGTTCACTGCAGCATTATTTATAAATGGTCAGCAACTAAAAGCAAATAAAATGTCCACTGACAGGAAAATGGTTGAATTACTGACAACAAATCCACGCAAGGGAATATTACATAGCCCATAAAGTGGATGAGGCAGACCTGGAGTAACCACTGACATGGAAAGCTGCCAAAACGTACTATAAAGTAAAAGTACACAGATCACAGGCGAGTGCTGGAATATGATCCATATAATACAATCCCAATTTTGTACAATGCAACGGTAACTTTGGCACTCTGCTTTTTTTTTTTTTTTTGAGACAGTCTCATTCTATCGTTTAGGCTGGGGTGCAATGGCATGATCTCGGCTCACTGCAACCTCAGTCTCCCAGGTTCAAGTGATTCTCCTGCCTCAGCCCCCTGAGTAGCTGGGATTACAGATGCAGGCCACCATGACCAGCTAATTTTTGTATTTTTGGTAGAGATGGGGTTTTACCATGTTGGTCAGGCTGCTCTCGAACTCCTGACCTCAGGTGATCCACCCGTGTTGGCCTCCCAAAGTGCTGGGATTGCAGGTGTGAGCCATCGAGTCCGGCCTTTTTTTTTTTATCTTTGAAATGAAGTCTTGGTCTGTTGCCCAGGCTGGAGTGCAGAGGAGCAATCTCGGCTCACTGCTACCTCTGCTGCTTGGATTCAAGTGATTCTCCTGCCTCAGCCTCCCAAGTAGCTGGGATTATAGGTGCCTGCCACCACATCTGGCTAATTTTTGTATTTTTAGTAGAGACAGGGTTTCACCATGTTGGCCAGTGTGGTCGAACTCCTGAGTTCAGGTGATCTGCCTGCCTCAGCCTCCCTAAGTGTTAGGATTATAGGCGTGAACCACCATGCCTGGCCTAACTTTGGCACTTTGTAAGGCAAAAGTTGGAGGAACTAACTTCGCAATGATAGTCTATCTCCGTGAAGTGCAATTTCGGAGACTTTCATATTTTATGTTATGTATTTCCAATAAAGACATCTTAAAAGAATTAGGTAGTCCTTTGTTTACTGACATAGATCAAAACCCAAGATTTCATTAAAAAAAAAAAAGGTTATTTTGTGGGGTTTTCTTTGGTGAATTTCTTTTTCCTTTTTTGAAATGGTGTTTCACTCTGTCAACCAGGCTGGAGCACAGTGGTGCAATCACAGCTGACTGCAACCTCAACCTCCCTCGGCTCCAGTGATCCTTCCACCTCCGCTTCCAAAGTAGCAGGGACCAAGAGGCGCCTGCCACTATGACTGGCTAATTTTTGTATTTTTTTGTAAAGATGGGGTTTCACCGCATTGCCCAGGCTTGCCTCAAACTCCTGGACTCAAGTGATCCACCCACCTCAGCCTCCCAAAGTGCTAGAATTATAGGCATGAGCCACCGCACCCAGCTTAAAAAAGAGAAGTTTAAAACCAGTAAATATAAGCCCACTGTCGTATGGCAATAATTTTAATAGATTTGGATGCATGTGTGTATGTGTATATATACACACATATATATGCGTGTGTGTATATATGTGTGTATATATATCTACATTCATATAGACAGATATATACACACAATTTTACACACACACACACACACACACAATTTGAAAGGCCACACATAAAACTTTTAATATAGCCAGGACCTGGATTCCACTGTCGTTTGTTTTTGGGGCTTTAATTTTTTTCAGAGACAGGGTCTTGCTCTGTTGCCCAGGATGGAGCACAGTGGTGCAATCATAGCTCGTTGTAACCTCAAACTGCTAGGCTCAGGCAATCCTCCTGCCTCTGCCTCATGAATAGCTGACACTACAGATGCACACCACCACATTCAACTAATTTTTTTATTTTATTGTAGGGACAGGATCTTGCTGTGTTGCTCAAGCTGGTCTTGAACTCCTGGCCTTAAGTAACACTCCCGCGTCAGCCTCCCAAAGTGCAGGGATTATAGGCATGAGCTACTGTACCCTGCTGTTTTTTATTGCTGTGTTGTTTAAAAGGCTTACAAGTATTCTTTGGCCATCGGGGGGAAAAAGTGGTAAAAAATATAAACATTAATAAAAGTAGGCCCTCTATTTTTTATCTTTCATCCCCACGTAACGGAAAAAACTAACACCACCACTAATGATAGATTTAAATCTGGCATGATCATAAACCCAAAGCTTCCAAAAGGAATTAAGAGGCCGGTCACTTCCACAACAAAATAATACTTAGCACATCCCCTGTGTTCATTCCCTTAGATAATCTATTTCCCCAACCAGAATGAAGGGTCTTCAGGGCTAATCTCATTCAACTTGTTTTTAGCCACACGGCCTAGAACACCAAAGGGAATCTGAGAAAGAAGTACAGATAGATACCGACATTGAAAGAAAAACCTCTACCAAACTAAATAGAGAAGCAAGTGACACTCTAACTCCATTTCCCCTACCAGTACCAGAAAAAGGCCTCGAGGAAAGTCAAACCAGAAGGACTCTGGACTTTACAATTGTGCTGTCCAATATGGCAGCCACTAGCAACATATAGCTATCTAAATTAAAAATAATTAAATTAAATTTAAGATTCTAGCTGGGTGCTGTGGCTCATGCCTATAATCCCAGCACTTTGAGAGACAGGTGGACAACCGCTTGAGTCCAGGAGTTTGAGACCAATATGGGCAAAATACCCCATTTCTACTAAAAGAAATTTTTTTTTGGCCTGGCGTGGTGGCTCACACCTGTAATCCCAACACTTTGGGAAGCCGAGGTGGGCGGATCACCTGAGGTCAGGAGTTCAAAACCAGCCTGACTCACATGAAGAAACCGAATCTCTACTAAAAATACAAAACTTAGCCAGGCATGGTGGCGTATGCCTGTAATCCCACCTACTTGGGAGGCTGAGGCAGGAGAATTGCTTGAACCAGGGAGGCGGAGGTTGCGGTGAGCCAAGATCACGCCATTGCATTCCAACCTGGGGAACAAGAGCGAAACTCCGTCTCAAAAAAAAAAAAAAAAAAAAAAAATTTAATTAATGGGCATAGTGGTAAGCACCTATAGTTCTAGCAACTCAGGAAGCTGAGGAAGGAGGATGGATGGCTTGAGCCCAAAAGTTCAAGGTTACGAGTAAAGCTCTGTCTCTAAAAAAAAAAAAAAAGAAATTCAGTTCCTCAGTCTCACTACCATGTTGCACATTTTCTTCCTTTTTTTTTTTTTTGAGACAGAGTCTCACTCTGTCGCCCAGGGTAGAGTGCAGTGGCACGATCCTGGCTCACTGCAACCTCTGCCATCTGGGTTCAAGCAATTCTCATGCCTCAGCCTCCAAGTAGCTGGGATTACAGGGGCACACCACCACGCTCAGCTAATTTACTTTTAACAGAGACAGGATTTCATCATGTTGGGCAGGCTGGTCTCGAACTCCTGGCCTCATGTGATCTGCCTGCTTCAGCCTCCCAAAGTGCTGGGACTACAGGCGTGAGCCACCCCGCTCAGCCCACATATTATTTATGAAATATTTTTGAGATAAAATAAAACCGAGAAGTTCTGTATAAGAAGGATAGTCATTAGGCCAGGCGCAGTGGCTCACACCTATAATCCCAGCACTTTGGGAGGCCCAGTCAGGTGGATCACTTGAGGCAAGGAGTTCCAGATCAGCCTGGCCAACATGGTGAAACCCTATCTCTACTAAAAAAATACAAATATTATCTGGGTGTGGTGGTGCGCACCTGTAGTCCCAGCTACTCAGGAGACTGACGCAGGAGAATCACTTGAACCCGGGAGGCAGCGGCTGCAGTCAGCCAAAATCATACCACTGCACTCCAGAATGGGTGACAGAGTGAGACTCTGTTTAAAACAAAAACAAAAAAAAAGAAGAAGAAAAGCCACCAATTTTGCACAGAAATAGAGGATGATTTCATAAAAGAAAGTGTCATTTAACAAATCTGTATCCTAGCTTTCTTAAGTACTAGATCTGTGAGCTTAGACAAGTCACTTAATATTTCTCTGGATCTATAAAATGAAGAAAATTTAAGTTTCTTCTAGTCTTCAATAAGGGTGTCCATATATCTTAGGTTTCCTCAATTCTTTTTACCAGTTTCTGAACAAAGAACTGAAGGCTAAGAGATGTAGATAGTGTTAGTTAGTACTGAGATAATCATTAACACAAAGCAAAAGAGACTGGCCTCTGTGGGTATAAAAGGTGTTACCAAAAAGAAAGTGGTTGGAAAAGGAATACTGATACCAGCAAAAAATGTTTGGACAATATACAGGACTAATGCACCAAAATCACAACCACTAAAGGTTGGGTGACACTGTTCAACACTCCAACACAGTAAAAGTTCTCTATATTTCATGATTTTTTGATAATGATAAATACTGTTAATGTAAAATCTTAGGGATATTTTTAAAAATTAGTACATTATACAGAAAACCATGTTATAAATGACCTTTCCTGAAACTCTCATTCATTGTTAGTAGGAGTGCAAATAATATGATCACTTTGGGGAAAGACTTGGAAGTTTCCCAGATTACTAAACATACACCTACCTAGGACCCAAAATTTCCACTCCTAGGTATTTACCAAAGACATGAAAGCATATAACCACAAAACAGACTTCTATGCAATTGTTCATAGTGCTTTATTAGTAATAGCCAAAAAACTGAATGAAAATAGCCCAGGTACTCATTACATGGAGAATGAGTGAATAAACTGTGGTTTAGTCATATAATAATATTTTTTGGTAATAAAAAAAAGAAGCTATTGACACATATAACAACATGTATGAATCTCAAATACAAAATCCTACATGAAATAAGTCTCACAGAGAAAGAATATACAGTGTATGACTACATTTATATTAAGTTCTAAAACAGGCTAAACTTGTCTCTACTGAAAAAAATCAGCAATGGTTGTCTCTGCACGAGTGGGAGACATTTTCTGCAGGAAAAAAATGTTCTGTGTCTCGATAGAGCTTTGAGTTACACAAGCATGTGCATTTGTCAAAACTAATCAAATGGTAAACTTAGGATCTGTGCATTTCACCAATATAAATTTATCTTGAAAAAAGCCGTAAGTAAATATTGATAAATATTGAACTCCAGCTAATGATATACATGCTAAGGTGTTTTGGGGTGAAGTACGCTGGTATCTTCAACTTACACTGATATGCATCAAAGTAACAAGATGGACTGATGTATGAACAAAGAGACAGATGCATGGGATAAATCAAATACTGCAGAGTAAACTATTTACTGCAGAATTTAGGTAGTAGTTAAATGGGTGTTTATAATTTTTTCAATATTTCTGTGTGTTTTAAGTTTTTTATAATAAAATATTATGGTTAAAAACAACAACAACAAAAACCTTTCCCATCATAGCATTTCCTGATACAAAACGCATGGAAATCATAACCAAAAAGATGCTTACCAGTTGCTAAAATGTATTGTCCATCTTTTGACACCTTAATAGTGGTACATACAGTAGGCATTTCAAAATCCTGAATAAGTTCAATTCTCCTACGGACATCTAAAAGGAGAGAAAAAAACAACTAGTTTAGCTAACGTGCTTATTCTCTAACATAAGAAGACAAATGTATGCCAAGCAGTCACCACAACTATAAACAGGTAAAATTCATCCCAAATGCTTCCCAGCCTTGGGAAATGGTTGGCCTTCCAGCCCAACCATTAAACAGCAAAGGTTTTTTTCCTTAACTCATACATTGTTTTTCTAAGCTAAGTATTTCATTTTCACTTTTTAAGAGGAAAAAAAGTATCACCATTAATTGAAAAAAAAAAAAAAAAATTTCCACAACAGTATATCAAACATCCAGTGTTATAGGAGGAAGAGCATAAACATTAAACCACTTTGGGAGATAGGGTTTCACTCTGTCACCCAGGCTGTAGTGCAGTGGCACAATTATGGCTCACTGCAGCCTCAACCTCTTGGGCTCAAGCGATCTTCACACGTCAGCCCCCCAAAGAGCTAGGACTATAGGCGTATGCCACTGCACCCAGGTATTTTTGTATTTTTGTAGAGATGGGGTTTTGCCACATTGCCCAGGCTGGTCTCGAACTTCTAGGCTCAAGCAATCCTCCCACTTCAGCCTCCCAAAGTTCTGGGACTGCAGGAGTGAGCCACTGCACCAGGCCTCTAAACCACTATTATTACTCAATCACGGCAAAGACAAAAATCTTATAATTTTTTTTTTCTCCTAAATAACAGGTTTAAGCCTCCAAACTCTTTTTTTTTTTTTTTTTTAAGACAAAGTCTCACTCTGTTGCCGAAGTTGGAGTGCAGTGGCACAATCTCAGCTCACTGCAAAAATCCACCTCCCAGGTTCAAGCGATTCTCCTGCCTCAGCCTCCTGAGTAGCTGGGGCTACAGGCACATGCCACCATGCCTGGCTAATTTTTGTATTTTTAGTAGAGATGGGGTTTCACTATGTTGGCCAGGCTGGTCTTAAACTCCTGACCTCGTGATCTGCCCGCCTGGGCCTCCTAAGGTGCTGGGATCAGAGGTGTAAGCCACCATGCCTGGCCGGAACTCTTAAGTTTATATAAGAAACTACTATCAAGCTGACTTATGCCTCTGTTGGCACCAATTATCTGCAGACAAGAGGAAACCCCTTTGATACCTTAGGTCTTTAAGGAATAAGTTAAACAAAAATATGGGAAAATAAATTTTCTTTCAAATGTGACAAGCTATAATGAAGAAAATATAATGAAAACTTGTTCACCAAAATTATTTAAGTTAGAATTTTTCTTACAATTTCTTGCTGCTGTAAATTTAAAAGAATCATCTTCTACAATCATCTTTTAACGTTCAGGTTCATACATCCTACATGTAAAATTCCTTTCTTCAAAAAATGCTCATTGTCTCTGTATCTCAAACACTGATAAATGGATTTAATTCACAGGATAAGATTTTGATACACCAGAGAGCAAAGCAATAGGAGAGACAGTCCTCCTTGGACCTGCATGCTTACTGGGTATGGCGAGATTGGAAGGCCCCAGTCACTCTAACCTGAGCCATTTCTCAGGGTTATTTACACTGCTGAGAACCTTGACAGACAGGTAACACGTCCCTTCTAGACAAAGCACAGGTTTGCTTACCGCTTGCTAGAAAAGCAGTGGACTTCCCAAGCTGTGTTGCTCAGCCACAACACAAATCCACTGTGTGCCAAGCATCCATCTGGATTGTGCTAAGTGTCTCCAGGAGACTCAAGAGGGGAACTGGCACAAATATGCTGATGCTCATGCTATTTACTGTGCTGTGAGTAATAAAATCTGCATCTCTAACCCAGGAGTCTTGCGTCTTACTGTTGTTATCCATGAAACTGTAACAGGCTAACTCATTAGTTAATAAGGTAAAATCAAATTCCATACCCACCAGGAACATACCAACTACAGTAAAAAGTTTCTTAAGAAGGAGAAAGGCAGCCGGGCGTGGTGGCTCAGGCCTGTAATCCCAGCACTTTGGGAGGCCAAGGCGGGCGGATCACCTGTGGGGAGTTCGACACCAGCCTGACCAACATGGAGAAACACCATCTCTACTAAAAATACAAAAAAAATTAGCCAGGCATGGTGGTTTGTAATCCCAGCTACTCAGGAGGCCGAGGCAGGAGAATTGCTTGAATCCAGGAGGCAGAGGTTGCAGTGGGCCGAGGTCACACCATTGCACTCTAGCCCGGGCAACAAGACTGAAACTCCGTCTCAAAAAAAAAAAAAAAAAGAAGAAGAAGAAGGAGAAGGGCTGGGTGCAGAGGCTCATGCCTGTAATCCCAAAACTTTGGGAGGCCAAGGTGGGAGGACTGCTCAAGGCCAGGAGTTAGAAACCAGTCTGGGCAACACAGCAAGACCTCATGTCAAAAGAAAAAAAAAAAAAAGGAAAGAGACAACAGCATTCATTTTCCACTACATGTTACTGCATTCTCATAAATCCTCACTTGTATATGATAACAGCAAATGAGTAAAAGCATTAGAACATGGATCACTAATGCAGCTGAAGTGGGGAAAAAACAATACTCACCTACATCTTTCTTCTGTAGTGCTCTCTTCTTCCTATCAGAAAGCCACTTAAAGAAAATGAAGAGACTTTATTTTAAAACAAATTTTGCTAAATTGTTTTTCAGCGTGCAAAATCAATACATGCTTATATTTAAAAATTCAAACTTTATAGGAATATATAACATAGGAAGCAAAAAAATTCTCTAATCCTAACCCTACTCTTAACATATTAAATATCTCCTGGATTTTTGTCTTGTGTATACTTACATACATTAGATAATTTCTTTTATTTTTACTTTTTTAGAGACAGGGTCTCATGCTTGCCCAGTCTAGAGTACAGTGATGCAGTGTGACTGCAGCTCACCGAAGCCTTAAGCTCCTGGGCTCAAACAATCCTCTCACCTTTGCCTTCCACAATGCTAGGTCTACTGACACGGGCCACCAGGCCCGGCCAGCTAAGAAACTTTTTGAACTACAACCTTTTTACATAAGAGAAAAACTAACCCATCTAACCTAATCCAATCTAAACTAACCCAATCCAATCTAAAGGAAAACAAAAAGCCTCAAATATTATGGGTTATAACTAAATATACGGAACAACTTAATTTATTTAAGTGAGAATTTAAAAAGTAAAACATTTATAGGAGAATGTTTCTTATAGAAATATATTTTTTACAAAGAATAACACCAGATAAGTAACTGACCAAATAGCTGATACTTGGCCAGGCACAGTGGCTCATGCCTATAATCCCAGCATTTTGGGAGGCCGATAGAGACCAGCCCGGCCAACACAGGTTTCGCACAACAGGTGAAACCCTGTGTCTACTAAAATACAAAAAATTAGCCAGACGTGGTGGTGGGCACCTGTAATCCCAGCTACTTGGGAGGCTGAGGTAGGGGAATCATTTGAACACGGGAGGCAGAGGTTGCAGGGAGCTGAGATCTTGCCACTATACTCCAGCCTGGTGACTCCGTCTCAAAAAAAACAAGCTTAACCACTGGAAAACTAATGAAAATAAATTTAACAGCATTAAAAATACAACAAAAGCTGATTAACTCCAGAATGGGAGATTTTTAGGTCAAATTATATGAATAAAAATCACAGCCCCAAGTCAGAAGTGTGATGGGACTGGAAATGAAAATTAACTTTATTCATCAATACATTAAACAAAATATTTATTTAGTACTACTAAATGCCAGTAATTAGGTATAGCAGTAGTAAATAAAACACGAAAAAAAAAAAACCCTCTTGGCCGGGTGCAGTGGTTCATACCTATAATCCCAGCACTGAGGCAAGGGGATCACTTGAGCCCAGGAGCTTGAGACCAGCCTGGCACTAAAGTGGGATCACTGTCTCTACCAAAAAAAAAAAAAAGAAACTGGGCATGCTGGTGCGCACCTGTAGTCCCAGCTACTCAGTAGGCTGAGGGGCAAGGATCGTTGAGCCCAAGGGAAGTCAAGGCTGAGGTGAGCCATGATTGTGCCACTGCAGTCCAGCCTGGGCAACGAAAACCCCTGTCTCAAAAAAATAAATAAATAAATAAATAAATAAATAAATTTATGAATCTAAAAACCCCTCCTTTTATGAAGCTTTCTTTCAAGTGAGGGAACACCAACAAATAAGGAAGTAAAACAATTAGAATGTCTGATGGTTATGTATGCCATGGAAAAAATAAAGCAAGAAAAGGAGACGAAGTGTTGGTAGAGAATTATAATTTTAAATAAGGTTAAGGTTCTCTTGAGCAATGACCTGAAAGGCATGAGGAGGCAAGCCTGGTGAACATCTGGGAGAAAAGCAGGCAAGCAGGGGGAATCCCCAGCACCAAGGTCCTAAGGCAAGAGTGTGCCTGGTCTCGAGCAGTGAGGAGACTTGTGAGGCCAGTGGAAGGTGGAGAACAGTGACCGCTGAGCTCAGAGAAGAGGGCAGGAAGGCACAACATCAAGTAGGACCTTACAGGCCACTCAAAGGACTCTGCTTTTCACCCCCAAGAGACCAGGAGCCACTGGAGGGTTTTGAGTAGAGGATCACTCTGCCAGTTTACTGATAATAGACCGTGGAATAAAGGGGTAGAGGGTGGAAACTGAGAAACCGCTTGGAAGTCAACTGCAATAACTGCAATTGCATAATCCAGGGTGACAGTGTCTTGATCAGCGGCGGTAATGGAGATGACTGGATTCTGGATCTATACTGAAGACAGAACCAACAGCATTTTCTAATGGATTGTATGAGAGCAAAGAAACAACAACAAAAAACCTCCAGTGCTTTTGGCGTCAACGTCTTGAGGGATGGAGTTGCCACTGACTGAGAGAGCAAAGACCACTAGGTTGGAGGAGGGGCAAATGTGGAGGGAAAGCTGGTGTTCTACTTTGGACAAGTTAAGTTTGAGATACCTATCAGACATGCAAGTAGGGATGTCAAGAAACATCTGGACACACAAGTCCAGTTCAGCGTAGAGGTAAGGGATAGAAACATCAATGTGATAGTTACGGATACACAGATGTGCTTAAAGCCAGGAGACTGCATCGGATCACCTGGGGAGTAAATGTAGAGGCTTCTCTACATTAACAAAAAGGTAAAGCCCAGAAGGAGAGAAGCAATATTTGCACAGATCAGACAACAACTAGGGTTCCACGTGGAGTTTAGGTACCACACCTCAAAGAAATAACCAGAAAACGGCCAGGGGCGGTGGCTCAAGCCTGTAATCCCAGCACTTTGGGAGGCTGAGGTGGGAGGATCACGAGGTCAGGAGATTGAGACCATCCTGGCTAACACGGTGAAATCCCATCTCTACTAAAAATACAAAAAATTAGCTGGGCGTGGTGGTGGGCACCTGTAGTCCCAGCTACTCGGGAGGCTGAGGCAGGAGAATGGCGTGAACCCGGGAGGCGGAGTTTGCAGTGAGCAGAGATGACACCACTGCACTCCAGCCTGGGCAACAGAGCGAGACTCCATCTCAAAAAAAGAAACAAACCAGAAAACATTAACCAGGACAAGTAGGGGTTTCCAGATCCACTCAGCTCAAGCTACTCTCCCTACCATTCCACTGGAACTCCTCACCAAGGTCAACGGTGCTGCATCACGCCAAAGTCGATGGTCTCTTTTCTGCCTTCATCTTACTGAAGCTCTCATTAGCAGTTGACACAGGTGACCACTCCTCCTCCTTGAAACACTTGCTTCTACAAAAGCACACATTTCTGAGTCTCCCCTTCCATCAGTGCTTACTACTCCTTCTTCTTTGCTGGGTTCCCCTCCTCTTCTTAGATGCAAATGTTAAGACTGCCTCAGGTCCTCAGCCCAGTTCTCTTCTGTTCATTCTCTCACAATTTGCTCTCACCTAGTCCCAAACGATGACAGTGACTTAACCTGCAATCTCCATGCTAGTATCCATGCAACTGCTAACTACTCAACATTTCCATTTGGTATGTATTAGAACTTCAAATGTTCACTACTGAAAATAAAAATTTTGGGCCAGGCGCAGTGACTCATGCCTGTAATTCCAGCACTTTGGGAGGCAGAGGCGGGTGGATCACGAGGTCAGATCGAGACCATCCTGGCCAACATAGTGAAACCCCGTCTCTATTAAAAATACAAAAATTAGCTGGGCCTGGTGGTGTGTGCCTGTAGTCCCAGCTACTGGGGAGGCTGAGGCAGGAGACCTGCTTGAACCCGGGAGGTTGCAGTGAACCAAGATCAGGCCACTGCACGCGATCTCAAAAAAAAAAAAAAAATCTTGATTATTTTTGCTCACTACATTCCTCCTCTCACCCTTTAACGTGTTCCTTCTTGATTCTTCTCCGTGTCAGTTAGCAGCACCACCATGCACCCACTTGTTCAGAATCAAAACTGAAGAGTTCTCCGATTCCTTCCTTTTTGTCACCTCAACTTTCCTCTACCAAGAATCTAATCCATTAGCAAGTTCCATCAGCCCTATCTACAAAATATGTCCTGAGTCTCACTGTGTCTTAGCATCTCCTTTCTTCCCAGGCAAGCCCAAGGCACCACAGTCGCTCCCCCGGACTACCTAATTCATCCCCACTCGAGCCCTCCCCAGCCAGTCATTTGTCACACAGCAGCCCACGTGGAAACACAACAGTGACTTCCAGCAGCACTAAGAATAAAACTTGAACTTCCTACCTTTCCTACCAGGCCTACCTCTCCAGCCTCATCCACTCTGCTGTCGCCCCCTCACTCAGCATACTACAATCACACCTGTGCCTCTTCCGGTCCTCCTACTATCCAGTACATTCCCATGTGGGGACCTCTGCACCTTCTGTTCTCAGCACTGAAAACTCTTCCCCCATCTTCACATGACTGACCCCTCTTCATCATTCAAGTTTCTGCTCATATGTCACCTCTTGCAGAGAGGCCTTCCCCAAAGGTTTTATCCAAAACACTTTCAACACTTTATCCAAAACGGCTCTCTTCTAATCATTCATCACGAAAAGTACTTTTTGACTACCTGAAATTGCCTTATTTGCTCACTTGTTTATTTTCCTTTTCCCCAACAGAGAACCTTACCTGAAATGTCCACCATATATCCCAATACTTAAAACAGAGTTCCTTGCACATAGTAACTTCTTAACACGTGTGGAGAATGAATGAACAAAAAGAGAAAGCTCATGAGGTGTGAAGAACAACTGGAAGACAGGGCAATATTTAAATCAGAATTTTAGGAAGAAAGGAAAAACCTAAGCACTGGCTCCAAATTTTTGTAGAAGCAGACAAATGGAAGGAGGGCTATATTTATTCTGTTTTCCAAGGGCAGGACTCAGACCAACAGTGGCATGCTATAAGGTGACATATTTGAAAAACCACTTTCTAACAAGTGCAGAGTCTCAAAATGGAAATGAGCTTCCACAAAAGGTAGTGCTTGGACAGAGGCTTGATCACCACGTAGAAGAAACAAAAGAAAAGTTTCAGAGCCTAGGTGTGTCATGCTGGACAAGTCACCATTCCCCTGCCTGGATCTCAGCTGCATATTAAACACATTATTAAATCTCAGCTGCATTATTAAACACGAGAAGATTGGAAGCGAATTGCCGATTTGTCCAAGCCCTTTCCAACTTTAAGACTAGGAATCAGGTTAAGTTCAGCAAGTCTCGAAAATACTGTCCTCCACACCATAAATTCTGCAGATGCGAAGTCTGTATCTCCCTTGTTCACCGTTGTATCCCTAAGACCTGGCAAATGAAAGGGACTCCACAAACAGCTGATGGCCATATGGGGGAGAGATCTGTCCATGTTTTCCTTCTCAGTGTGTGGCAAGGACTGTGAACATCCAAAGAAGCCCAAATGGATGCGTTCTCTGGAACAGAAAACTTTAGTTCCAGCAAAGTTCACCGACCCTGATTATCCCTTGGTCCAGCTTCTGGCGCGGTGACGGCAGTGTCCTCGTTTCCCAATGCCGATACCTCCCCAGGAAACTGTCAGCCGCCTCTGGGCCTCCCCGAGTCGGGGGGTGACCAGGGTCCAGCTAAAACAGACGCTAGGGCCCAGGAGAGGGGCGGCTGTCCCACGAGGAGGACGACCCCAAAGAGTTCGTGAGGGGGCCGGAAAGTGACTTACCTCAGGAAGGGACTTGCCGCAGCTGAGACTGTAAATCTTCACCTCATTGAGGCTGGAAACCTGCATGGCGGCGCACAACACTGTTCAAGTCCCGGGTCCTTTCCTACCAGCGTGCTCGAGCACCGGAATCCCCCGCCCTCAAAGCCCCTGCTCCGCCGGCATGCGGCCGCTGGCGCCGGCTGATGACGCACTTCCGGGCGCCGGAAGACGTGCGCACGTTCCCAGAAGAGGGAAGCGGGTGAATGCGGGAAGAGCGGCGGCCGGGAAGGTAACTAGTGAAGTTCTGGCAACCCGGCGCGGCTGTCGGCGACGCTCCTACGGGCAACACTAGACACTGCTCTCCCTGCTGTTAGCATCCCGAGCGGCAGGAGGAGGCTTTCGAGTCTCTGCCCAGGCCGAGATGTCATCCTTCCAGGCGGGGGCGAGGCGGTTCAGCGAGCGAACCCAGCGAGCGAAGACGACCAGGGTGCGAATTCCGAGTGGAAGTGTATTCTTTTCTCTCCTCCAATGTTTCTGAGATGTTACGTTAGAAGTACTGTAGGCCGGGTGCAGTGGCTCACGCCTGTAATCCTGACACTTTGGGAGGCCGAGGCCGGCCGATCACCTGAGGTCAGGAATTCAAGACCAGCCTGGCCAAGATGGTGAAACCCCGTCTCTACTAAAAATACAAAAATTAGCCGGGCCTGGTGGCGCGCGCCTGTAATCTCAGCTACTCTGAAGGCTGAGGTGGGGGAATCGCTTGAACCCGGGAGGCAGAGGTTACCGTGAGCTGAGATCGCGCCACTGTGCTCCAGCCTGGGCGACAGAGTGAGACTCCGGCTCAAAAAAAAAAAAAAAAAAAAAAAAGAAAGGCTCTAGAGTCATCTTCAACCCATTTCTATCTCTGGCCCTCACTTTCAGTATCTAAACCTGGATATTTCTAATTATGAAATATTTCCTTGAAGTAATTTGTTTTCATTCCTCCTGCTGAAACTCAAATACTTACTATTTTTGGATTATCACTTTCCCAACTGATCTTACCGCCTTTGATTTAATGAATAAATTATTTTATGCCTTACTTTCTAAAACCCAAATGTTATTGTTTTGCTGTCCTACCCAGAACATTTTTGGAAACGCTCAAATACCAACACCACATTGCATCTGAATTAGGTTGAGAGTTCTTCGTGGACCCTATATCATTTGTCCTTATATTCCCTATCCACCCCTACCCAGAGTACCAGAACAGTGCCTGGCCTCTATTAGGCATTGCTACATATTTACATTTAGCCATGTACGTAGGGATATATTCCTAAACTCTGTCCTCAAATTTAAGATCCTCCACGAATTTTTAATTTTCTGCACTGGTTACAGTTAAGAAAAACTGTAAACGTCCTTGGAAAAGGTGGCATAATAGAATGGTTAGATCACAGATTCTGGCTTGGCTTGGTGGCACAGGTCTACAGTCCTAGCTACTAGTGAAGCTGAAGCAGAATCACCTGAGCTCAGGAGTTCTTGGCTGTAGTACACAACGAGCATTGGGTGTCCTCAGTTTGGCATCAATATGGTGACCCCACAAGAGCCAGGGACCACCATGTTACCTAAGGAGGAGTGAAGCAACTCAGGTCAGAAATGGAGCAAGTCAAAACTCCCATGCTCATCAGTAATGGGATCATGCCTGTGACTAACTCTGCACTCCAGCTTGGGCAACATAGCAAGACCCTATCTCTTGAAAAATAAATAAAGATCACAGACTCTGAAGCTAGACTGGCAGGGTTCAAATCCTGACTGCCATTTTTAACTGGAAGACCTTAGGTAAGTTACTTCACCTCTCTGTACCTGTGTAAAATGGAGATAGCAATAGTATCCACTTGACAGAGTTATGAGGATGAAATACGTTCATATTTATAAAGCGTTTGGAACGCAGTACTTGGCACATAGTAAGACCATTTAAGTGTTTGTAAAATAAAACTGAAAATAAATGCCATATACCAAATAAGTGGAAATGTATCCAAATTCCATTAGTATTTCCTTTTTAACAGTTTTATTGAGATACAATTAACATGCTATAAAATGTCCCCATTTAATGTACAATATAATGACTTCTAGTGTACTCCGAGTTCTGCAACCATCACCACAATCATTTTTAGAACAGAAAGAAACCCCAGCCTCAATTAGCATTCACTCCATGCCCCATCCCCCACCCAAGCCCTAGACAACCACTAATCTACTTTCTGTTGGGGTTGTGGGTTTTTTTCCATGGGGGCATCTCACTTTGCCATCCAGGTTGGAATACAGTGGCATGATCATGACCCACTGCAGCCTCAAACTCATGAGCTCAAGCTGTCCTTCCACCTTAGCCTCCTGAGTAGCTGGGAGTACAGGCATACCACCACAGCTGGCTGTTTTGTTTTTACAGAGGTGGGTCTACCAGTTAAGCATCCCTAATCCAAACATTTCAAATCCGAAATGCTCCCTGGAGTATCACATTGAGTATCACATTGACAGAAAGTTTCAGATTTTGCAGCATTTTAGATTTTGGATTTTCAGATTAGGGATACTCAACCTGTATTTTATAAGGGCACCAATCCCATTCATGAGAGCTCTGCCCTAAAGACCTAATCATGGGTCAAGCACGGTGGCTCACACCTGTAATCCCAGCACTTTGGGAGGCCAAGGCAGGCAGATCACGAGGTCAGGAGTTCGAGAGCAGCCTGGCCAACATAGTGAAACCCCCGTCTCTACTAAAAGTGCAAAAATTAGCCAGGCATAGTGGTGCGCACCTGTAGTCCCAGCTACTGGGGAGGCTGAGGCAGGAGAATTGCATAAACCCGGGAGGCAGAGGTTGTTTTGAGCTGAGATGGTGCCACTGCACGCCAGCCTAGGCAACTCTGTCTCAAAAAAAAAAAACTAATCATGACCAGGCGTAGTGGCTCATACCTGTAATCCTAGCACTTTGGGAGGCTGAGGTGGGCGGATCACTTGAGGCCAGGAGTTCTAGACCAGCCTGGCCAACATGGCAAAACCCTGTCTCTACTAAAAATACAAATATTAGCCAGGTGTGGGCGTGGGTACCTGTAGTCCCAGCTAATGTGGAGGCTGAGGCACGGGAATTGCTTAAACCCAGGAGGCAGAGGTTGCAGTGAGCTGACATCACAGCATTGCACTCCAGCCTGGGCAACAGAGTGAGATCCTGTCACACACACATACATACAAACACACACAAGACCTAATCAATGTCCCACCTCATACCATCACATTGGGGGTTAGGATTTCAACATGAATTTTGTGAGGAGCATAGCACCCTGTCCTGATCCAAAGTTGTAATTTTTTGTTCCATATAGTTCAGCCTTTGGTAATATTAAAAACAGCATAGCTCACTGCAGATCTCTGCAGATGACTGTCTTTTTTTTCTTTTTCTTTTTTTTTTTTTTTTTTTTTTTTTTTTTTTTTTTGAGGCAGGATCTCTGTCACCCAGGCCAGAGTGCAGTGGCACCATCTCAGCTCACTGCAACCTCCACCTTCTGGGCTGAAGCGATGCTCCCAACTCAGCCTCCTTGAGTAACTAGGTCTACAGGTGTGCACCAACATGCCCAGCTAAGTTTTAAATTTTTTATAGAGACGGGGTTTTGCTGTGTTGGCCAAGCTGCTCTTGAACTGGGCTCAAGCGATCTGCCTGTTTTGGCCTCAAGTGCTGGGATTACAGACCTGAGCCACCACGTCCAGCCTATTTCTCTTTTTAAATGTTTTTATGTATATATATACACACACACATATATATCACTTATATATATACACATACATATGTCATATATATATACACACACACACATATATATATTTTTCATAATAAAGACGTGGTCTCACTATGTTGCCCAGGCTGGTCTTGAACTCCTGGGCTCCTGTGATCTTCCTGCCTTGGCCTCCCAAAGTGCTGGAATTACAGGTGTGAGCCATGATGCCCAACCAGATGATTCTTCATTTTTCATACACATCCACTTAAACATTTTGTCTTTCCAACCAAGAGTGTCAGAGCTTATAGTCAGGAACCACATGCAAGGGCACATGGTGTTTACTTTGAGATGAAACGGGGTATCCACAGTCCTCATGCCAGGACAGCTCCCTCTCCACAATCGCTGGCCTGAGAATTTGACCTGCTTCCCTTCTGGGTCGCTTCCCGCTGAGAATGGAGCTGCAGTGCAAGGTGCAGCTTCTCCACTGTTTCTAGTATTGTGTGTCACACAGCATCCTGTCCCTAGGCAGTCATGAACTTAAATGTAATGCTGTATTAGAAGCCTGTGCTTGCAGCTAAGAGCACAGACTTCAGAGCCAGACTCCCTGCGTTCAAACACTGGCTCGACCCCTTGCTACCCATAGAGAGCTTGTAGAGAGCCAGTTAACCTCATCTGTCGAATGAGATTAGTAGTACTTAGTGCAGAGGGTTGTTAGGAAATAAGTGAGTTGGGCCAGGCACGGTGGCTCACGCCTATAATTCCAGCACTTTGGGAGGCTGAGGCGGGTGGATCGCCTGAGGTCAGGAGTTCGAGACCAGAGACCAGCCTGACCAACATGGAGAAACCCCATCTCTACTAAAAATATAAAATTAGCTGGCCATTTTAAATATAAAATATAAAAGATATAAAATTATAGGCACCGTGGTGCATGCCTATAATCCAAGCTACTCGGAAGGCTGAGGCAGGAGAATCGCTTGAACCTGGGAAGCAGAGGTTGCGGTGAGTTCAGATCATGCCATTGCACTCCAGCCTGGGCAGCAAAAGTGAAACTCCATCTCAAAAAAAAAAAAAAAGGCCGGGCATGACGGCTCCTGCCTGTAATCCCAGCATATTGGGAGGGCAGATCACGAGGTCAAGGGATTGAGACCATCCTGGCCAACATGGTGAAACCCCATCTCTACTAAAAATACAAAAATTAGCTGGTCGTGGTGGCACACGCCTATAGTCCCTGTTACTCAGGAGTCTGAGGTAGAAGAATCACTTGAACCCGGGAGGCGGACGTTGCAGTGAGCTGAGTTTGCGCCACTGCACTCCTCCAGCCTGGCAACAGAGCAAGACTCTGTCTCAAAAAAAAAAAAAAAAAAAGTTTATGTCATAAATCACTGATTTCAGGACATCCATTTTTTTAACATCTGTGAAAGGATGTGTCTAGTGTATCGTGCATATCTTGAGGGAAGGGTGCATCTTATAGGTAATGGTC